TCTTTTATATTTAGTATTAATAGAGTGCACATCGGTGGAAATTTTTATTTTTCATATAATACGATTAATTAAGTTTTTTAGTTGAGATAAAAAAGTCCACCTTGAGGGAAAACTCAAAAGGTGGGGTTGAGATAGGAAGCTGATGTCCGAGTGGACCGAGGTCACGATAGCTCACGTGGTAGAGCAGCGGCGTATCAAGCCGAAGATTGTGGGTTCGAATCCCGCTCGTTCCATTGACTTTTTTATCTCAACCAAAAACCTTAATTAATCGTATTATATTAATTGGTCAAGCGGACCACGAAATTAGAGAATTTGTCATATAAATACTCAGGTTTCTTAGTTTTCAAAACTGAAAATCATGCATAATAAGTTATAATGCACTAAATTTTTCATTTAATAAATTATAAAGATAAAAACAGGATGAATAGGATGATTGATCTAAAAGTTTATTAATAAGTATATTTTAATCAATCACTAGGTAATTTTCATTATTCTAAAAATAATGTTACAATAATCTTAAACATATGTCAGATTATCAAAAATGATCAATAGGAAATATGAAAAGTGACGTTTGGTTAATCATGAAGAAATTCTCATTAATAAGGAATTCATTCATCAATTATGATGGAACTTAATTATAATGAATATATCAACAAAAAAGTGATTATTTGAAATTGAAAATGCAGATGTCGATTAACGTAAAAATAATCCTACAATAACCAAAATATAAAGTTATATTTATATTATATAATAGATAATGTTATATTGTAGATAATTTATCTAATATAAAAGTTTGTAAATATTCTTCCAAACTAATAGTAGGAAGAAAACTATGTAATTTTTTGTTTAACAGGGCTAAAATAATTTTCTAATATCGGATGAGTAAAAGAATGAATTGTTGGGTCTTGACCCGAGTTGGGTCGGAATCTGCACGGGACATACCAGAGAGCACAAACATTTGCATTTTACTTCTAACCACTGCCAACAACCATCCCCGGATTCCCTTTTATCTATCGGACCCCACGGAAGTTCGGATAAGCGTTTATCTAGTCGATTATCTCTCAACGATGTACCTGTTGTGATAAGACTGGAAGTTTTTTTTTTTTAATCTCTGAGAGATAGGTGGACGGAATTAGTCCAAGCAGAATTTACGTGTTTGGGTCCTTGTGCTTCTTTTTATTTGAAAATTAACGCTATAAATAAATCGTTGTAATAACAGTCAAACTTTATTTCCGTTTTTTAACAAACTTGAACTTGATTGTGTCATAGATTTCTATTATTCTATCTTGTACATAAAGTGTTTTGTTTTATTAAATAAAAAATCTTCCGTATTAGTTAATTTGTTGATTTTTCATTTTAACGTTAAATTCTTGCATATTCACATTTCATCGCCCAATATTCATTAAATCGAACGGAGAGAATAAAATGGAGTAAATCTTGAAATTGTCATACCTTCAATACCAAGTATAGAAAGGCGCAATTTTCATTAGTTTTAGTCATTTTTACAGTGAATTTAATTTCTGCAATATTGATCCCATTGCCATGTTACATTTTAAAAGCTAATTGTATGTAACTTATAACCAATATTCCATTGCCATTTCAATGCACTTTAAACGATTATTCTCTTTACGACCAAGTTATTCATATACAGTTTGTACCACAGAAGATGTCTCCCTTCCTAACCTTTCGTTTTGGTCCGTTTTTATTAAATCTTTTTTTTCGTTAAGAAGATTCGTTTTCAGATGTTTCCTAAAATAACTTTTTGGTTCATTTTTTTACATAAAATATGCCCATTCTTTATTTTTAATTAAGACCCCCTTTTTTATTTCGGATTTCAAAACTCGATCAGTTTTAAGAAATTTTTGCGTTGGTGTTCTGTATTATTAATTATAGAACTTACAGAAACAAGAGTTTTACTAGGTACATTTTCACGTCCGCCAGTTATAATAAACACCACTCCAGGAAACGTGATTACGTATTAAGCTAAGAATGACTTTCTGCAAAAACAATCAGGGATGAGGATGAAAGAAAATGTTGGAAAAGCAGACTACCCGGGTTAAAGTAAATGTTCGAGTTGTTTTTTTAATTTCAATAGAAGGTACTTTCTTAGTTAGTTGTATCGGAATGTTCCGAATTGTAGTGATAATTATTTCCTTAAAATCATCAATATCAACTAAAGAAGTTTTGTAAACTACAGAATTTATAAATTTGCACCGTCATTCACATTCGTTCACAATAATAATTGAAATTGAATGTCGAATTGAAGTTATTTACATTAAACAATTACAACATTTAAAAAACAATTAAAAACCCTTTCTTTTAACCAAACCCATGATTTTTTTCATTCCACTTTTTCTTTTGGGCTTCTTTAAAATCTGACCGCTGTATGTATTTTCTACTTCTTTTGGGCTCGTTTAAAATCAGACCGCTGTATGTATTTTATACTTCTTTAGGGCTCATTTAAAATCTGACCGCTGTATATATTGTATACCTCTTTTGGGCTCGTTTAAACTCTGACCGCTGTATGTACTGTACACTTTTTTGAGGTTTGAATAAGGACTTTAAATATCCTTTCCTCCATTGCAATAATATTGGTCTATTGTGGGTTCCCCATTAATTATAACCATACCCTTGTTAAGTGCACTTTTTCCTATAAGAATAAGCACTTTCTTCGGGTCCTCTTCGCACAACTCTTCTGTTGACTGAATTGCCTTCCCGAAGTGACTATGCCGTAACCGGTATACATTCATAAGGGTATGTGCTGATGTCTTTGTTTCTTCCTGTCTTTTCTTTCTCTATCTTCTTTAAGTGATAGTTAAGAGGCTGTGGCCGGTACAGAGGCCTATAATTCTCCTAAGATCCTTCAGGAAGTGCTTGGCCTTCCTTTTTGAGTGAATTATAAATCTCTGAAGCGTTTGTCCAGTCTTTGAGTTTTTCTTTTTCAATCCATTTTTTTCAGTTCCAACATAAATACACACTCCAGAGCACTTAGTTGTGGTTCTGGTCCCATGGTGAGAGGGCTGCCCCTTTTGTGGCTTCTTGGTCAACTTGTTAATTTCCTTTATGGTAATCTTCTTCTGTTTTCGAGAGAGAGTAATTCGGTAGTTTAGGTACTCCCAGACAAGTTTTGAATTGAAAACGTTTAGTGCATTTATGCCTGCCTGGCTGTCTGAGTGTATGTAAATATGTGCACCTTTCATATTTTCTTTATTAACTCCTGTGCATAAACTTGAATTGCATGAACCTCAGCTTGGAAAATAGTTGGGATTAGTTCAAGGGCTTATATGGCAAAGTTCGGCCCTTTTACCCCTACAGCTACTCCCTGTTCCATTTCCATCCATCTTTGTACACTATTAGAGCACCTATTGTATAATTCTATAAAACGTAGACCTTTTTTTCTACTTAATATTCGACGAAACCATTTGTTCGCGTTATGGCTATTTAACAGGCAAATAAACGTTCACAATTTTAGTTTGTTTATTTTGTTTCTGAAAACTGTTAATGAAACAGTCACCGTAGTTTTAAGAATGTTTTTATTTTTGACAACGGATCTATGAATACAAAAACTCTAGACGGACTCTAATAACATACAAACAATAATCAATAAATGTATTTTAAAAAAACAGTCAGAAATTACAAGAAATTGGAGAAGGAGTGGCAGAGGGATATGAAGATAGAGAGAGATGAATAAATATGTTGATAGTATAAAGAAAGAACAAGAGAGAGGAAGTGAGGGGGAAAAGGAAAGAGAGCGAGATAGGAAGAGAGACAAAGAAAGAACAGGAGAGAGAGAGGGGGAAGAGGAATAAAGATAAAAATGAGAAAATGAAAGGCAAGAGGTTGAGTCAGAGCGTGAGACGTGAGAAAGTGAGAGAGAGAGAGATAAATTGAAGTAATGGTGCGACTAAAGAGAAAAAGAGTAGGAGAAAGGTTGAGCCAGAGAAAGAAAAATAGAAAAACCAAACGAAATACAAATTGATAAACACGTTAGCAGATAAGGAAAAATAAAAATGAAAGAGATCGAGCGAGCGAGAGAACGACAGGGAGGAAAGAGAGGAAATGAGTGAGAAAAGAGAAAAAGATAGAGCCAGATTTATAGAGTCTCAGAGCTATGATGGAAAAAAGATAGATAGGGTGAAATAAATGCGAAGAAACACGAGTTAGAGAGTGAGAGAGATAGAGAGAATACGAGAGAGGGAGATGGAGAGAGATGAGAGACAGACATAGCGTGAGAGTACAGGCAGATTAATCTTTCAAATATATAGATAGATAAATGAACGGATATAGAAAAAAATTGAAAAGAAATGAGAGAAAAATGAATATACGAGAAAGAATGAGAAAAACGATGAGAATGAGAGATAACAAATAAAGGAGTGTTAGATAAACAAGATGAATGTGAGTGAAGAGGGGAGAGGGAGAGCAGAATTGGAAATAAAGATAGAGAGAGAAAAATAATAGAATTTATTAGAAGAAAAAGAATAATGCTATTTAATATAATAAATCGTAAATTTATTGAGAATAAAGTTCTGTTTATTCTGGACCGTATCTTTTCGCTGGTTTTCGTTCAAACAAAACGGCCAGTGGACCTACCATGGAAACCGTATTCTTCACACGATTTAAAATTAACTGTTAAAAATGCTTTACAGTACGTAGTGAAAATGAAGATTTAAGAATTTATCAGTTTTTAGGTCAATAAATAACGAAATGTCGTTTTTAAAAGATAGGACGAATCGGATAGAAGAATGTGGATAAGAATAGGGCAAATTGTTTAATACAACTGTCTTATTTTATTGGTGAGACGTGGAAACCGATGGTGAAACTCCACAGTGCTCTCTCTCTCTCTCTCCCCCCAAGTTAAAAGGAGATGGTTTAACACAATTTATTATGCGTTTAAACTGTGGCGGTGTGTTTATTAAGGTGATGATTTAGTCCCGGGGGTAAATCGATATCCCCCTCCCTCGGTCATTCCGTTCCCTGTTTGGAGAAACAGTCTCCCGAAGAACACTACACCCTACAAACACAGGCCAAAAAGGATAGAACACCGGCCTTATAGACCCAATTATGACCGTTTCCCAGAGTCTAATAAAGCTGCCGTTCGGGGATATATTGCCAAATGGATAATTTAGAAGCCGAACTAGACGAAGGTAAAAAATACAATTCAACCCCCCCACTTTGTCGTTTTTCAAATATTCCTTCATATTCCCAATCTGCGTAAATAAATTTAAAAAAAGATGGACGTTACATAAATAACTTCCAAATTGCCATGTTGATCCATAATTAACTGGTTCAAAATAAAATAATAAAAGTTTATTGTGTAATCATTTTATTTAAAAATCCATTTATATAAGTTTTTACTGCAATAAGACCATGAAATGAACCACAAAATCACATTTTTAATAGTAAAAACATCGGCAAGTATGACTTTCTTATTCTAAATAGATTATTGTTCTAAAAAACAAAATTATAAAACTTTTTGATTCTTTAAAAAAATGAACAAAGCAGATTGCTGCCATAATTTTTATAATGATTGTACAACAATAACGATTATGGTACTTACAAGATCTGCTCTTAAAAGGCAAATTAATTTACATTCAAGCATATTTTTGGTCTTTATTTAAGTGTGATAAAGTACAATTTTTATTGTTATTGTCAATTATAAGTATTTTTTAAGACTCGGTTGTACTAAACGCCGAGGAAATTACACCCGCCGAATCAACAGGTAGGAATTACAGAAAAACTAAAATCGGGTTAATAAATATATAACAGAAATTTTTTTAAAGTTAATTAACAAAAACATTTATTTTTTCAATTACAAACTTTATTACCTATAAATAAGAAAAATTGAATAGCACGATGTTAGGACGTTAAATAACTTTGACTGAATATATTCTTTTGTAATATTTCAATTACATAAATATATTCCGAAAGAAATTTAAATAATCAATATTTAGTTATATATTTCCGTTCCTGGCTGAAGATGGCGTGAAGTTGAAACGCTCGACGAATGCTTATACCAGTGAGAATTTCAACTAAGTGAAATTTATGAGTGTGGGCTCAAACCATTTAAAAATGAAGAAGTCGTTTTCCCATAATTGTTATTCAATTTTCCTGAGGCGATTTTCTGTGTTCTGTTCTTACAAGCCATCATCAGTGGGCTTGAGTTTTGAACGTGGTCCCTCTCAACTGGACGAAATTTATGAATGAAATGCCGAGATTAAAAATACAATTAAAAATGGAAAAGTCATCCGCCGATAATTTTTAAGTTTTCACAATTTTTTACTTAATTTTTAAAGAATCAATTTTGGTTTGAAAACTTGGGATTGAAAATACAATTAAAAATGAAAAAGTCATTCGCTGATAATTTTTACTTAATTTTTTAGAATCAATTTTCGGTTCTTATTGGGCTATCATTATTGGGCTTGAGTTTTGAAGTTGGTCCTTCTCAACTAGATGAAATTTATGAATAAATTGGCGAGGGCATGGGATTGAAAATACAATTACATATGAAAAACTCTACCGCCGATAATTTGTACTTAATTTTTTCAGAATCAGTTTTCGGTTCTTATTGAACCATCCTCAGTGGTCCTAGATTCGAAGGTGGGTCATTTCGACTAGATGAAATTGATGACTTGATGTCGCGATGTCCTGAAGTTGAAATTACAGTTAAAAATTAATAAGACGTCTATCCATAATTTTTATTCAATTTGTTTTTGCAATATTTGGAAAATAAACTGTTGCCAACAGTAGGAATTAACGGTTTATTTTTTTAGAAAAAAGGCTTGACGTCCATTATACCATTACGTCCATAATTAAGTCTCATACATGGAACTAGGCAATGTGCATAATGAGCCGCGTTGTGATGCCCATATGTAAAGCAGCTCCTCACTGCTCTTTTGTCAGTAGTACTTTCTCAACAGTGGCCACGGTTTATTTACTTTGAGGTAAAATAAGATGTTAAACATGATAAATACTCCGTGGCCATTTCATTTGTCACTGAGAATCAAATAGATTACACGACATTTGAAAAAATGGCAAAAAGGAGGACAAATTCAAAACGTGGGGTTGAGATGGTTAGTGTCCGAGTGTGTAAGTTAGTGTCCGAGTGGATCGAAGTAACAATAGCTCAAGTGGTAGAGCAGCGGCGTATTTAGCCGAAGGTCGTGGGTTCGAATCCCGCTTGTAACACTGACTATATTCTGCTATGTCTATCTTTTCCCCTCAACTTTTAACTCTTTCTAACGTCAAATACGCTATTTAAAATCTACTCGTTCAGCAAGCTCCCGGATTTGACCTCTTGATTCTTTCAATCCTTCAACTCCCAAAAAAGTTTTAAAACAACCCTTTGTAATGAAACACTCGCGAAGGATGCTTTCCACGATTCATCCAATGCCTAAACCCAACTGACCACACTACTTCCCGAATTCCTAGCAGATCTGTTTACTTCCAATTCTTTGTAAGCAAAGCATTCTCGAATCTTCTAATACATTCCCGACCATCTGAATTTAAGCGTCGCATCATTCTACTATTCAACAATGCCGCCGTGTTGTGGACATCATGGAATCCTCCCTTGAGAAGAAGGAAGAAGAAGGATACATCATTGATGTCGACGCTGACACTTGAGTTTTCTATGGAAACTCAAAGGCATCTTAAGTAGACATGTAGTTTATGCTATGGGTCGAGTCCTGTCACTTACTTAATACAAAGGCGGGCGTCCTTCAGGGTTGCGTCCTCAGTCCAATACTATAATCCCTTAATTTACGTCACACCCCTTCTTACCGAAATCAACCGCTACTTCAGGCTGTATTTAGTCAAGACACGAGACAGAATTTAACTGTCGATACTGATGTTTTAAAATGGCATATATAAACTCAATATTCAAACCAATATGGATATACGGCATGTAACTAGATTTCAATCAAACCTTCTCCTCTCGCAGAATCCAGACCCTAGAATCGCGAATTCTTAGATCTTTAATCAATACACTATTCTACGTTTCCAGCGACTCTATCCACAACCATCTAAATGTTCTTTTTCAAAAAAAAGTTATAAAATCCAGCCTCGAAAATTCCACAATAACCTGCAATCTCACTGTAATCTTCATTTGTAATACTTTCCTCTCGATCTCTTCCATATAATCTTGCTAGGCGTCTAAACACCCAAAGTCACGTGACCTGCTCTCAGAGAGTGATTTTAATTAATAAAAGTTTTAGAAATGTTACCCACTGGAAACCTTATTAGTTCGATTTATTGTTTTTGTTTTTATGTTCTGTGTAAATTATTGCATCTCGCACAGATTGACGCTCGATAAAAAAAGACATTTCAACTTATTTTATAGGTATTGGATTTCAAAGCTGAGTCTTTCGGCTAGATGAAATTTATGAATGATCTGGGGAGGTCGTGGGTTTGAATATTGAAAATAGAAGAAAATTATACTTTTGTTTAGTGTTTATTTCTAATATTTTTTTAATCCATTAGATCGTAACGTTTTCTTAAACTATATATGATGAAATTGAACTCCGTATTTGTGAATCAGTGAGTATTATCAAATGACCCCTTCTGAATAGCATGACATTACTGTCCAATTGTCATTTTTGACATTAAGGGCCCTAAGAAAAGATGTCACAACTTGACAATGCCTTAGTCACACCTCAGTCATCCAAGCCGGGAAAATAGGCCGTTTGACATATTTATCTATCATATCGCCTCGACGTGTAATGACGGTTATAAAACGAATATGAGTTGGCAGAATGTTTGACAGAGCAAAAGCAGAATTTACCCTCCTCGGTTTGGACGACTACCAAACTCTCAAAACTATTAAAGGCTATTGGATAAATATTTTTTATTTTTAAAAATCCTTTAGAAGAATATTACACAAATTGGAGACAGACTGTTACGAAAAGGGTTTTTAATGAATTTTCACGGTGCGAGGAGGAGGAAAATTTCTTTTACCTTTCTTAAATAAAGCGACGACGATCCATGATGATGATTGAGCCACCCCCTTCTCAAGGTTCAATTTATTTACCCAATTACTTTCTCTGCTACGGTTCAATTACGTTTCCCTGCAATTCAGCCCAAGATAAAAAAGAAATTAACTTAAAGAATAGTTTGAAATGTGAAATATTCGTTACACTTTTGTAAGATGGAGTTTTGTTAGACTATTGTTTACGTATGACTAGAATAAACAAATAAGACGCTGGGTTTTGTGTCAAAGAATAATCAAAATATAATATAAGTCTTGCTCATTGGTAAATTATTTTTCCTCCAAAAAAGTTCAAAAGTCACTTTTTCTGACTAAACCAAACCGTTACATTATAAATCAATGCGGCTACAAATTTAGTTGAAAATAAATTCAATTTTTTTAAATTGAGAAATTAGTGACGTTAATTTGCTTTGTAAACAGACTTAGACGTTCTTAAATCTTATTGATTTCAATTCTTATTGATTAACCACTGCGTTAACTCACCTGAGAAAGGATTAAAATAAATCCGAACGTGTGGATTGAAAGAAAAACTGATTGTTGTTTTTTTTTAAGATGACTTATTATCCCACCTTCGAGAAGGAAAAATCATAAGTTAAACTGTTGAGGTCGAAATATAAGAAAACATCCTTATTGCTTTCTGTATATTTGATAGATTTGAAATCTATGTTCCCACTTAAAAAAGAAAGATTATCCAAATACTCGCAAAAGATGATTTTGGTCACACATCCATATTTTAAAAACATTCCCGTAATATAAAAATAGACACCCCTTTACAGGTGGAAATACGCTATATTAACTCGGAAATACATCAATTTACGGAGAGTGGGCTCTTCTAAGATTATACAGGAATGAGGAGGTTAGATGTTCTTGGTTCGATAACGGGCATTAATCTAAATCTGGATTTTCAGGCCGGTTCGGTGGATTCCAATGTCTGGCACTCATGTTATTTAAGCAGGCTGACTTGTTGACGTATACAATCGCAAGTTTCCCGTTTGTATACGGAATCAAGATGTTAATCTCCGAGCCAGTTCTTTTGTCAACCTGTGCTTGTTACGATTGGAAATAGTTCTCTCAAGATTTGCTATCAAAACTACCAAATGTAATGACGGAAATTTTTATAGCAGCAAAGAAAAACTTATTGTAATAAATTACAATAATAAATAATTACAATTATAAAATTGGTTAATACGTTTTACGTGTATGGACACATCTTGGGGAAATTCCTTTTTTTTTCTTTTTTTTTTTTTTACACTCAAAAGCGTTTGTTTCGTTTAGAAACTGTTCTTCACTGAAGATGGCACACAGAGGAGATGTTCCGCCATTTCTTCTTCTTCCTGGCAATATCTAAAATAAAAAATATTACAGATTCAATAAAATGTAAAATGTGTATAATCGGACCGATAACCTGAACAGTACCTAACTCTAACCTTACTTAACCATTTCTACTTCAAGCAATATAAAATCGACAACGGAAAAATGTCACGCAGCTCAAAAAATTACCCACGTTAAATATGGTAAAGAGGATAAAAAGAAGAATATCAATTGATCCAGAGTATATTATACATGTATTTAATCAGATCTGATAACTGTGATACAAAAACGATAAAAATTAAACTAACTTGGATTATTAAAACATATATTATCATTGAATCATGGATATGTAACCTGGATCAGTCCTTAACACTAACCTTTTCTAGTCTAACCTAATCTAATCTAAACCTACCCTACCCTAACCTAGCCTCACCATAGCAACGAGACGTCAACGACGCAAAAATGGACCCAAAAATGTATGTACCTTGCCAAAAAGTATCCATGTTAAATACTACATAGAAAATAAACAGTGGGTGTATCGATAAATACAGAAAATAATATACATTTATCTAATCATAACATAATATTACATTATACATATAATAAGACCTGACGACTGACACAATAAAAAGATAAGATTTAATCTAACTTCGATTTCCAAAACCCACGCATATGCATTAAATGAAGTATATTGTATCAGTATCTAACCCTAATCACTGGGGGCGTCGGTGGCTGCAACGGTTAAGGCGCTGATCACTGTAAGGTAAATATCTCTAGTTCGCATCCGGCGGAATCGCATTCGAACCAGCATACTTACAAATGGGCTTTTTTTTTCAAAAAAACCACCACCCCGAGGGTTGATATGACCTCTGCTTTTGCGAACCCTCGTAAAAAAATCGATATTTTTTGTTTTCAAGTAGTTTGTTCCCATTCTTTAAAAAAGGAATATTAAAAAGTTAGACAACAATAGCCGAACTTACTAATTTCACTACCAATATGGGCTCATTTTACTCCACTACACAGCAGCTATTTGTACGCTATATCATCCTCTATCATAAGTAGTATCTATCATAAGTGACTTCGATCGGGTTTTCTGTTCAAGTTGAAGGGCTACCTTTCAGTTACCATTTAATAAATAAACACTATCCAACCGATACTGAAATATTTCCCTTTCCACCTCTCAGGGGCTGCGTTAATCTTATATTCTAATTAAAGCGAGTGTCTCCTAGGGCAATATATTGAGCTTACTATTCGCAATACACACAGTCGACATTCATTCCTGTTTTCTATAACAATATTACATGCCGGTTATCTAATGACAGAGCCATCATGTCGTCTAATCCTGATCATTCGCTAGCTACTCGTAACATCCAACTCCATTTAAAGCTTATGCAGTCTTCGTCTCGCAAATGCCGGATAAAAATTAACAAAACTAAATCCACCCATATGACTTACAAGCTACAAAAATCTAATTTTCTTAATTTTATTTCAATGAAAAACTTATTTAAACTAACTATAAGGCCACAACCTAACCCTATTTAACTCAGCTGAATCATTTAGTTTTATCCTAACCTCAATCCATGACCACTCCCCAGCAATGGAAAATCAATGACCACGGAAAAAATGTTTCCTGCTTAAAAATCATCCATGTTAAAATATGACAAAGAGGATAGGCAGAGATTGGGAAATAATACATCGGGAAATAAAAGTCTTGAAAATTAAAGGTAAATCCATCTCAAATGCACTAAAGAAGAAGGCTCATTTTAACCCGACTAGTAACAGGCCATATGCGGTTATCACACGAAATCTATTTTTCGGATCAACGTTATCAACGCTTACCTATCCGGAGTATGATACATGAGAACTGCAGTAAGTTTCTGAGTGGTATTCAATTTTGAGCAATGGTTTTTTTTTTTTTTTTTTTTTTTTGTTTTTTTTTTAAAGAACGGGAGTAAATTGGATGTCGCCTATCTTCACGCGGTCGGTCTGTCATGACTCATGACCAATCTGTAATCAGCAATTTACAGGTTAATCTCCACGCAGGGCCCCAGCAATCTTTATCATTTACGGTTCTTCTGGTTATGTTTAAATGTTTTTTGTCTGAGAACGAATGTATTTACTGTCGCGAATATGAGTCAAAGATGTTAGTGGATTATTGAGTACTTCATCGTCCTAAGATAAGGTGTTTTTAACAGGATATTATGGAAGGTAATGAATTTCAGTACACACAATAAAAAATATTATTGAGATCTTGAATTGCACTATTGTTGCCAAAGGACATGGGCTCGAGGGAACGCAGGAAAAAGACATTCTATTTGATGGCACGGTAATTTCTTCCGAACCGTTTCAAGCTCATGGTTCATTCTCTCTGGGCAAACACCGTTTGGCAAACGGCTTTATCAAGGGGTAAAACACGCAGAAGGGATATAACAATGCCGCATCGAAAAAACGTCAATAATTGCTTTTACTAACAAAAAGTTCTCATTGAACTAGTTTAGGTGTAAAGAATTCATTGGCCTGGATTTTAGCTGAAAAAACGTATTCTTAGTTATTAAAATTTTGGCGACAGGAAAGAAAATGTCTTCTTTGTACTTATGTACAAAAGAAAAAATTTTGTATTGTTTTTATTAAGGACAACGTCCTGTTTAACTAGTTCAGTTGTAAAAACGTTAGTTTGCAAGAAAAAACTCACTTTTTTCTTTACATATACAAGAAAGAAGTTAATAATTGCTTTTAGTTTTATTTTAAGAAAACATTCAGTTGAGCTAGTTCAGAAGTGAAAAATTCATGTGCGAAGAGATCAGCAACAACACCAATCGCTAATAATTAAATTCTTGTCGACAAGAAAGGAAATGTCTTCTTTGAAAACATTTACAAAAGAAACAATGTTCTTAATTGCTTGCTTTAATTAAAGAAAACGGACCTGCTAAACTAGTCAGTCGTAAAATCATTAGTTTGCAAGATAAACTTATTTCTTTGTTTATATATACAAGTTCATTACTGCTTTTAGTTTTACTAAAAAACAGCATTCCGTTTAGCTAGTTCACATATAAAAAGTGCATGTGCGAAGACATCAGCAGATAAAAATTAATTCGTCGTAATTAAATGCTTGTCGGCAGGACAGAATATGACTTCTTTGTTTGTTATTTACAATTGATAAAACGTTTTTAATTTCTTGTAATAAGTAAAGCGTTCCCACTGAACTAGACTAAAACATTCACTTGTAAAAAGAATATTATAGCACCCAATAATGTTCTTTACTCAGAAAAAGTGCTATACATTATATAATTTTAAAAAATGTAATTCTGATGAAAAGTGGGTAAAATCGGGCTGACATGCAACCTAGGCAACTGTGGTATTTCTTGTGTGTTACTGACAAAAGAGAATATTTATAAAACTGGAAGGCTTCCTCGTATCTTCTCACTCTTGACTGATGTCTTAGGTTGACGAAATGCAAAATCGCGCCTTGCCAAAATACCAAAAATCACAAAAAGTGATAGTAAGTAGAGCATTAAAATTGGAAATACCAAATAACAGGTTACTGCTTGAACTGCTTTGTTTTATTTGCTGACAATTCACGACCAAGTTAGATGATAATCGCATTGGATAATGTTTATACAGGCAAAACTTCATAAAATAATTGAGTTTGACATAGCCATTCTTCTATGCTTGCAAATCTCAACTTTCAGATCGAACTCCGATAATAATTTAAACTTCAGTTTGTAAATCTCCGATTATTTTAGTGAGCTTGACAGTCTCAGCAGTGAAGATGGCATGAAGCCGAAACACGTCTAACAATTAAAGCTGTTTGGATGGGTAGACAAGTTAATTTGTGGAATCCCTAGTGAGGTGATCTTAGATATTTTGATTATTTGGAGATCATGAGATGCGGACTAGTGTGACGTAGGTTTTAGAAAACGTTTTGTTTATCATGCCAACGTTTCGATCTTTATTGAGATCATCTTCAGGGGTCAACGTGTTTGTTTTCCGTGTTGATTTGACGTTCTTGTGTGTCGTGTTGAGAGTGCCACGGTCAAATACCACAGGCACTCTGGGGATGCTATCAATGTGAATTGTAGATATTACATAACGATGAGACATAGTTGTGAGGATATTTTTATTTTCTACGCATCTAGTTAGATGACGTATCAATGGCGAATCAATTTAAAAGAGAACGTAACAGTATCGACAGTCGAAATGAGAAGCATTCAAACTGATTATCGACAGTTTTAAAGATCAGTAGATATCCATTAATCCGAACGATCAAAGTAAATTAATTACAATATCCCCACTGATACCACACCGAAATAAGTGATTTTTGAGTGTTGTTTTTATTGTTTCAGAGGGTAAACGGGCCCGTGGATCCGTGCGAGTTGGAGGGCGCCGGCTTAGCGTCCCGAGGAGGGAATCGGGAAGCGATGCGAGGACCATGGACGCAGCAATTCGAAGACCTTCCCTTGCAGCACTCGCCGACCGAGGGACGTGGGGCTCTCCTTGGGAGTTTCTACTTTCCTGCGTTGGCCTCTCCGTAGGTATCGGCAACGTCTGGAGGTTCCCTTACCTTGCCTACCAGAACGGCGGAGGTTTGTCACATCAATTTACGTTATGACCTAATTTTAATAGCGTTCTATAAAATTTACCCTTTGGCATAGATCTTGTCTTTCATCACAACATTTTCAAGAAACATTGCAAGTATATTACTTTGTGAAATCGGTACGATAAGTATTACACGATTTTTGTGTATTATTATGTAAATTGTTTTGATGTTTGAGTTGAACGATGATAGGTTGACTGCATCTGTTAAGAGTTATCTGGTAGATAATAGTTAAATTTTTACCAATGCTATCGAAATGGGCGTGGCTAAGCTGTTTCACAATACTAGTTAGGCGTGGCTAAGTCGTGTGACATTACTTGTTGGGTGTGGCTAAGTCGTTTGACATGATTGGTTGGGCGTAGCTTCATTATTTGACATTCCTGGCTGGGTATTCACATTTTTGGTTGAGCATGGATATGTTGTTTGACATTACTGGTTGGACGTGCAGTCACTATTTAAATTTATTGGTTGAGAGTCGCTTTATTTTTTAGCATTATTGGTGGGGCGTGGCATCATTTTTTGGCATTCCTGGATGAGTATAGATTTTGATTCACATTCCTGGTTGAGAATGGATAAGTTGTATAGCATTAGTGATTGGCGAGGTTAAGATGCGTCACATTATGTGTGCGATCTGGCTTCATTGTATGACATTACTGATAGCACATGGCGTCACTGTTTAACTTTATTGGTTGAGCGTGGCTTTATTGTGTTTAGCATTATTGATTGGGCGTGGCATTCCTGGTTGGGAATAGATTTTGATTCACATCATTTTTAAAAAAGATGGTTCCTACTCACATTAAGTGTGAATAGTAGTTACTTAATGTGAGTAGGAACCATCTTTTTTAAAAAGGATTGAACTCCACACTCACCCCATCATTTATAATTTCTTTTGATTCACATTTCTAGTTGAGCATGGATAACTGTATGATATCAGGGAGTGGCGAGGTTAAGATGTATGGCAAATCGTTTTGCATGTGGCTTCATTGTTTGACATTATTGGTTGGGCGTGGCATCATTGACATTCCTGACTGGGGTTAAATTTTGCTTCATATTTCTGGTTGAGCATGGATAAGTTGTATGATATCAGTGAGTGGCGAGATTAAGATGCATGACAATTCGCGTTGTATGTGGCTTCATTGTTTAACATTACTAGTTTGGCGTGGCGTCATTATTCCATATTATTTGTTGGGTGTGGCATGTTTCAAATTAATGGCTTGGTAAAGATGTTGTTTCACATTTCTGGCTAAGCATGAATAAGTTGCTTGATATTAGTGATTGGGGAGGCTAAGATACATGAAATTACTGGTTTGGCGTGACTGTGCTGTTTGTTTACAAACGGTTTGATGTTTTTTTAATAACTCTATCAGTTTACGTAAGATTAAATATGCTTCCGAAGTCCTGATGATGAAAGCTCGACGAAACATTTTCTTTCAAATGAACCTTATTCCTCATTTTTAATATAAAATTAACTTTATATTCGATCCGCCGATTCATTTATAGTTGGAATGTTTAGTTAGGCATGTAGGGACAGAGCACCTTGCATTTTAAGTGCTTCCCGTGTCAAAAAACTCCATCTGGCATCCATTCCAAAATCAATGTTGGTTTAAGTATGTTGATAAATGAGTTCGGTAGGAGCTGATTAGAATCTCCTCCTAATCCTACCAATTATTGTAACAGCTTGGCCTTCCTAAGTGTTCCTCGATTACTGTTCACTTCATTCAAAATGTTTACATAATTTAAGGTAGGACGGCTATTTCTTTGGCATCAGAACGTCGCGTTTACTTCGGTAAAGTAAAACCTGGCCTCAATTAGATCATGATCAGTTAAAAGCCCGATATGGTGTCGATACTTTCACAAATGTTTTCTTACATTAATTTTTTTGACAATAACATTTGTTTTTTGAATTATACTTTTAAAAACCCTAATAAGTCAAACCCCGGCTAGGGACTGATTAGGGGGCTAGGGACCTTGATTAAAAAAGGTTTCGCTTTGTATCTTGAAGAACTATGAATGTGTATGGATTTTAACATGAAAAATAAATTTTATTCTAGTACTTAAAGCCTCGCTGAATAACTATACAACATATTCAGAAAAATTCAAACCTGATAGTGTCTGAAAAGAAATTTTTTTTCCAAAACTATATACACAAAAACTTTACAATAATAATAATGGAAATAAAACAATAATTGGATAATTAATATATCTTCGGTGCCAAGTTGTAAGGCACAGGTGAGAAATGTGGGTAATATGGGCTTGACGGAGAGATAAGAGGTGAGAACTAGATCAAAACACATTAATCTGGGACTTTTTTACATTCAATTAAAGCTCGTTTCATCTACCCAAGAAGAAGGAAATTTCAAGTTAACAAGGTTTTATTTGACAGAATAGAATAGAATAGAATAAATTTTTATTTGTACATGTGCACAATAATATATACATTAATTTTTGATTGTAGGGAAAGTGATATTTCACTATGACTTCCTACTATTTACAGGTAATAGTACAAAATACAAATCGGTACGAGTAATTCCATATCAGTTTGTGGGGAAAAAATTTATGTTAACAAAAAACCACAAGCAAAAAAGATGAAATCTATATATAAATTAAATAAATGCATATACAACGTGTAGATGAGAAGTGAATAAATAAATAAATTAAATAAATTATTAAATACATACATAGGTTTATAAATATTCTTATTACTATAAATTTGATAACTATGTAAAGTTTATAAGACAGGTACATTGTGTTTGATCTATTTGACAGAAAAGTGCTACAGCAGTAAGCTGTCAAAAAAAAAACATTAACCTCACTGACCGAGTTTTGCAACGGGAGTCCCTTAACCCTGTAATGTTTTCCATTTACAACTGGCCAGTTAAATGCATGAAAACGTAAATTTTTGGTTTTTAACAAAAACTGCAAGAAAAGAACATAAACATGGCTACCTAGGTATAGGTATTTTGTATAGACAAAGTAAAAAGGGACATATGAAGTGATTAGTTGAGAGTATAGAATAAAATAAATTATAACCGAAATAATAAATTTTAAAATAGAAAATAAAAATATAAAAACACGAATACAAAAAAAGTATTAATCTGGCAGTGCATACAATCCTCTCTTTGATAAAATATTAGGCAGCCTAATGCTACCAAAATTCCGAAAATGATCTAGTACTTCTTGGAATGAAATTTCCTACTTTTGATAATTTGTGCCAAGGTTGATACCGGTGCTGATTCGTGGTCATAATGTATGATTTTACGAAAGCACAATTATCATTCTTATTAAAAAACGCAAAATTTACCAACTTCCTTTTGAATTGATTTGAACGAGGTTTGGAAATAGGTTATCCTCTTTCAATCGTTTCTGTACTCCTTTCTTCCCCTATTTTTGCTACCATACTACTACCAGGTCCTCAGCTTGGAATTGAACCATTATTTGGACGTGGTCAAGTTGTTTGACATTATTAATTGGGCGTGACTAAGTTGTTTCACATTTCTGGTTGGGCGTGCCTAAGCTGTTGGACATTATACAATAAGTTGGGCGGCGTCATACATTTTTTCACACTACTGCATGAGTGTAGCTAAGCTACTAGTATTTAGGCCGTCATTTTCAGATTCACCATTTAGTTCTGCGCAACTAAGTCCCGTTGCAAAACTCGGTCAGTGTGGTTATCTAAGGTACCATGTTATTTAAGTCATCATCTTCGAATTCAAACATTATTTGTACGTGTCTAAGTTGTTTGACATTATTAGTTGGGCGTAAATGTATTTAATATCTGACAAAATAATAATTTTTTTCTCTCTCCATTTTGCTAGATTATTTTATAAACTCGAAATAAAACAGTTTAAATTATTTCTCCGGAGAACTGCTTGAAAGATCATCTCACCAAGGGTACGTTCATTACATTATTAATGTTTCATGGCACAATCCCACAAGCCAATATTAAATTCTGTTTGATATCCGGTTTAATAAACTTCAATATTTTTTTTAAAGTGTTGAAATTTCGTCTTTTCTACGTAATTGCGTCTCTCTCGTTGAGCTTGGTTTATTTTATTTAGCTAAGGGCTTTGCGAATATACATTTAAAAAATATTAAATAATAATGTCCATACATAGACGAATGTTACTTCCGTTAATTCCAGGTAGCCTTTGCTCCAAGGCCTCAGTTTGATCGCACCAAATCACGCACGGCCCGTTGAATCTCGCTTTTATCCGTCAGCCGTATTTCGGTCCTACTACATCTCCAGTGACTGCCAAGATTCCTTTAATGGCTGAATAAAATATATGCTTTTTACCGAGAGTTGTATTGTATTTAATTAATAAAAATCTTGTTCAAAAATATCAACGGTCGTGTAGAAGAAATATGGGATATGCACTGAAAACTGGCTTTAATTAAACCCCGTGAAGCGGAACACGGTTCATTTACAAGATACGTGTCACGAATAACTGCAGAAATGACGCCTCGTTCACTCTCCTTGTTTACTTATTCAGAAATCGTGAGATGCGGTCTGGTGTGATGTAAGTTTCAGAAAAACATTTTCTTTATCGTGCCAACGTTTCGATCTTTATTGAGATCATTTTCAGGGCCTGGGATTTACAAACATTGTTTACATTTAACAAATACATTTAGAATGTGGAAAAGTGAATTCATACAATGCAAAATATATTTTTTATATTCGATCAAAGTATTTCTACTCCCTCAAAGTGTTTGTCTTCTGTGTAATTGTGCCATTCTTCTATTAAATACAGTCATACCGCAACTTCCTTTCACATTACCCTCCTCACTAAATACGTAGATGATATACTGTTTATATATAACAGCAGTTCCCACAGATCAAATTCAAACTACATTAGATACATTTAATAGCTTTCACCCACGCCTACAATTTACACATGAAATCGAAAATAACAAAAAAATACCATTTTTAGATACAACCAGATGGCACATTAATCACAGATTGGTATCAAAAACCAAGAAACACAGATCGCT